AACCCGGAGAAATTAGTGGTTATAGCTGAACTAACATCCTTAAAAAATTTTCTGAATATTTTTTAAAAATATTACTGGATTTAAAAATAAATATTAACGTACGGGAAAAATAAAAAAATTAAAAATTTGTAAATCAAATTCTGTGCAAAAAATTATGAGCATTTAGTTCCACGAGTTAATTGAATCACACTAATAGGACAACATTGATGCAAGAGTGGGAGAGCAATAGTCAGTTAAATATATATAGCATATACTCAGTTGCAGTCAAAAGGGAGAAACTCGTGTCGTCGCTTGCTTTGGCTGTGGGCTCAGGTATATAGCTATTGGCCAGGTGCATGTCATGCAGCGCCACTCTTGGTGTCAAAATCATGCAACCGCTGGTACCCACATTATACGTCAACAGCATGCACCGTGCACAATTTTAGAAATAATCAATTAATTAGCAAAAAATTAGTATGTTTATTCATCTGATAATGGATTTCATTATAAAAACAGGCTTTAAGGATATCACACACTCGATTTGTTTCAACTCTGAAGCCTTAAAAAAGGTAAACAGTTGGTTGAAAGTAGTCATGTGTGCGATGTTACAGAATTTCAAAGTGATGGAGTTATCAATTTGAAAAATGCCGTCGTAATAAGGCAGACCTTGGTAACTTCAGCTCCCTACAAAGTTAACCTGCATGTACGTTTTATTTAGATTATTTTCAAAATTGTCTACGTTGCAACGCACATGAAAATTACCTTTATTTACAGTTGGATAATCATCGAAATTCGTGTAATTTTACTCCATTTGTCTTTGCACTACTGTAACACTGAACAACACAGCACTTTCTTATACCCATATTTCATAAACGTTTAAATAATAGAAATCACAATGATCATGTTTTATTTCGCGTATTTATCTGTCTTTTTGCCATCTGCTTCTAGGAGTGTGCTCTGGATCGAAAACTAACGAGGCTTCATTAATAGATTTGTTCGATTAAGAGGTTCCGAGCCCTCGGAGCGCTCGGAGTGCTCTAAACTCCAGCCCGAACAAGCGTTCTTGCTCTGAGCGCTCGGAGTGCTCTAAACTCCAGCCCGAACAAGCGTTCTTGCTCTGAGCGCTCCGAGCGCTCCAACTGCTCCCCACGTGTTCATAATCAGGAAACTTAAAAAAGCCGTAAGAGGACCAGGTATAAATTATTTTAACCTCTTATCTGTAGATAATTTACTTATGCTAGATGACAAGTTAATCGGGCACTACTAAGGATTTTTTGGGTCACCTTTGCCGAGAGCACGTGTGGAGCAGTTGCAGCGCTCGGAGCAAGAACGTGTGTTCGGGCTAGCGTTCGAAGTACTCCGAGGGCTCCGAGGGCTCGGAACCTCTTAATCGAACAAAACTAACACATTGTTACATTCAAACATTTTACAACCGCTTTTGGCACCATTTAGTTCATTTTTTTACATATGTGTAACTGCAATTTCATAATACTGAACTATTTATGCATACGTGATGAGAACATCTGTAAATTTGATGAAATACTGTTATTTCCTGAATTAAACAAAAATGACAGTAATTTGGTACCCCAGGTTTCCTGTTTTCGCCACTACGCACGCTGGCGTCGACTCATCTATCCCCTCCCATCACTTGCACCTGGTCAATAGTCGAAGTTTCCGCTCCTCTCTTCGTAGGCACACATTCGGTACACCCCTTCCACGTGTCTAAAAAATGTGCGCCTATATCGACGCCCCGGACAAAGACTATGCCCTAATTGGCCCTGAACGAAAACTATGCCTTTTTGACGTCCCGGGCTAAGACTATGCCCTTTTTTTTAGTCCGGACGAAAACTATGCCCTTTTGTGGTCCCCGACGAAGACTATGCCCGTTGTTTTCGAGTCCGGGCAAAGACAATGCCCTATTTTCAAGCCCAGACGAAAACTATGCCCCTTTTTCTAGTCCGGACAAAAACTATGCCCTGTTTTTGGTCCTGGGCGAAGACTATACCTTTTTTTTGAGTCCGGACAAAGACTTCGCCCTTTTTTTGCTCCCGGACGAAGACTATGCCCTTTTTTCTAGTTTGGACGAAAACTATGCCATTTTTTCTAAGTCTGGGCTAAAAATATGTCTTTTTGTCGCGTCCAGACGAAAACTAAATTATAAAACACCCCAATATTATTTACTAACCTCTCTACTAGCTACTGGTACGCTGAAAGAAGCTCACGAATACGAAGCTTCTGAAAACGTTTGAACATTTTCAGATTTCTCGATACTTGTGTATATGTTTATATCGATATAAGTTTTATCTTCACATCGAGATTCGCATGTACGTGAATCTATAGACGCCTTTGTATAAAAACAATATGTAATCATTATTCTTAGCAGGTCTAACGGCCTAAGCATTTACAGTTTTGGTAAGTGTTTGAAAAAAGGGGTTTTTGAGTTTTTTTAAAAAAGATTCCGTAAATTATATATAACAAGAACTGTAATTGATTTAAACTTGCTAGGTTATTCGTGTATTAAAAAATATTTTGTAATCCAAATATGCATGTCTTACAAACATTANTCATATTCATTAATTGCAAATTACCATGCTCATAAAAACATTCCTCAGTTTGTATTATTATTATTTTATAATGGAGTATTATTATTGACAATTATTTATATAAATGTAAACAACAACCACTATATAAGTATATTTGACTATATATCTAATGATAAACTAGAAAATAAAACATAAAAGAGTCTTTCATATTCATTAATTGCAAATTACCATGCTTTTCAAAATATTCCTGAGTTTGTATTATTATTTTACAATGGTGTATTATTATTTACAATTATTTATATAAATGTAAACAACAACCACTATATAAGTATATTTGACTATATATCTAATTACAAACACAAATGTTTTCGTCCGGACTGCGGAAAAAGGCATAGTCTTCGTCCAGGCTTCGAAGCAGGGCATAGCATCGATATGCTCATTTCCACGCAAATCCAGAAATCCACTCCTCAATAATCCTCATCTCGTAGGCGCACGCTGTTCGATAAGAGTCTTGCACTCTCAAAAAATGTGCGCCAGGTTCGACGGCTGGCCGCGGCGGGTCATCCCGATCAGTGCAAAAAAGTCGTCTCACCTCGTAGCATTGGCGTTATAGACCAAGAGCTGAGGCCCAAGGGTGGTAAAAATTTTAATCAGCCGCCACTTTTACCAGAATTGAGGAACCTTATGATTCGTGGAGATCCGAAATATTTTGGTCATATTTCATTGTGGTAAAGAGTTGTGTGGTAGTTATAGTTGTGCCATATGATCTTTTTCATTAACCAGCCGCAACTTACACCAATGAATAGAAAATAAAAAGTTGTCTCATGGAAGTGCCATTTGCGGCAAGATAAGAATGCATCTTGTACCCGAAAATCGACCTCCAAAAATATAGATATTCTATTCTTATCTATAATGTTATCCACAATGAATCATCTATTATCTTAGATGAGTATCATCGATAAGATCGGGTAGGGGGTCTATTTTTTTGAAGGTCGATTTTCGGGTACAAGATGCATTCTAATCTTGCCGCAAATGGCACTAATTCCATGAGACAACTCTTTATTTGCTATCCATTGGTGTAAGCTGCGGCTGGGTAATAAAAAAGATCACATGGCACAACTATAATTTCCACATAACTCTTTACCACAATGAAATATGACCGAGATATTTTGTATCTCACTTTACTCATCTCTGGTGCACGGAGTCTATACACAGGAAATACACGGGGGTATACATCTCATTCTATTCTGCGGTAAAGAACTTCGTTCTAATAAATATTTTACAGTATTTAAAGCTGCCTTGTTGATGATACCATTTGGATGGTTCATCGAAAAACACATCTTTAAAAACGTCAATTTGTAAAAATAAAATAAATTTCGCTAATTCTCAGGTGCTTCTTCGGATGAGATATCAGATGAGATCTCACCTGAAAATTAGAAAAAATGCTATCACTAACATAGCAGCTTTAAATACTGCAAAATTAATTTTTTTTCTTTTTTTTGAGTAAGGACACTTGAAGAAATCTTAGCTAAAATCCCACCTTATGGTCATAGACAGGAATCCGAAAAAGCGATAAGGAAGATATCCACCCAGTCGAACTCTAAGAATGGTACTAATTTGGTTATTAGTGTGCATCTTTCTGATTGAATAATAGCAATATACGATTAAAATCGGAAAACTTACAGCAACAAAGTGATTTTACATGATCTTGAGAATGCTTATAAAAGGTTTTAGGTCACAATGTTACATTGCATGAATATTATAACTTTTTTTGTAAGATTTTTTAATTAACATCTTATATAACTTTTGAGTGACAAAACGAATGGCTTTCTTCTATAGTATGTTCTACAAGCCAAGTGTATTTTAAGAATAAAAAAGCCAAACCCTACTTGAAAATACTTAATGTATAGATTAATTGGCACTTTTTTCAGCAATGACAGATGTAAAATGTATTTCTTAGGTAATAACTCTGATTTCGTATGATTTCATAACTTTTTTACATTTTCCGTTGACAAAAACTTTACAGGTTTTTTGAATGAATTCGAGGTATTCCACAACGGCTATAAATCACAGCTAACAGTTTCAAAATTTCAGAATGTATCACTACACTGATTCAGGCATTTTTGTAAATAAAAAACAAGTGGTGTGTTCAACATTTTTTTTACCCATTGCCACATAACTAGTCATAGAACTAATGTCATCAGTAATAAATATACCCATAATAAGTAGACTTACTCAAACAAAGCTTGACTTTTGACAACAGAAATAGGGGGCTCGACTTTTCGTCTGGAATCTCTGGGAAAATAATAAATTTTCGTTACTCTCCCGTATGGTCCAGCGGGAATCATGGGTTGAGGCTGAGTACGAGCAGCAATTTCATCAGCGTATCTTAAAGAATTCAACCTAAGAGGTTTCTGAAAGAATTTGAATTATGTAATTTGATTTTAATGTTAATAGTAATCTCGATAAATACTATCAAAACAAGTTCATACACCCCTTAGAAGTGTTCTTAAAAAGTTAATAATTGGAGTAACTGATCGATGTGACATATTACTAGACATCACGAGAAATTAAATGAAAAATTTACAGAATACAATATAATAATTCGGTTACTGTAGATTTGTTCAAGCCACTTTTTGTTCGGTTTTTGGCTCTCTTATCAAAATAAACTATGTATAGGAAACCAAGCAGAACCATAGACATACAAAAAATATAGACTGCTCGTTCTTTTGTACGGTGCTAAAGCACAAGTAGGAGACACAACATCGAAANGCATAGCAGTCGCGATTCGCTGACCTCGTTCCGAACGCTCGGTTCGATAACCCAATACATATGTATTATTATACACGATCCACACGACGCACGGGAGTGTGCTTTTACCACCGCACGCGTTTTTGCCGAATTCTTTCTTTTTTTTTTTTTTTTTTTTTTCGGCAACAATTTCCATTAGAGGGTCTGTAATGGGTTAATTAAATTTTACTTTCGGTCGGAAAAAAGGCAGTGCAAAGGTAACGGAGGCCAGTGCTGGAGCTCAACTAGTAAATGAAAGCTAGATTTTTTTAAAAAATAATTCCGTGTTTCAAATCAGCCAGTACGTTTCGGCTGGAAAATATTGTGTAATATACGTTAGATGTGATCTTTCTGTTAACCGTAGTTTGATTCGGTTAAAAGGCAAAAAAAAATTTTTTTATCGCCCCATATCTCGGTTCTCGATGAATGGGGAGCATTAGTTCAAATAGACGAAAGGTTGGAAATCGCTTCTACTGCAATGTTACCAAGTGTCATCCAGTTATTTTGCTGATGCTGTAATTACGCATCATTGCTCTAACTAGTTAGGCGGATTCAATATCGTAACTTTTTCACTAGATCGTATGTATAGCTATACGATCAAGGAAGAACGTTCCACCGAACTAACAGCAGTGAAGGGGCATTGCCAAAGACGGTACCCACAACGCGCGGAAATTAAAAATTGTAATATTAATAACACAAGTGCTCATCACCCAATGACCTGGGGCGCTTACTGGTCGCTTTATTTAATGACATATATTAGCGCTTACTGGTCGCTTTGGTAAACGACACATATTATTAACTAACAACAGAAGCGCCTATCATCCGATGACCCGGGGCGCTCACTTACTTCTCTATTAAATAATGAAATGTTAAGCAATAACACAAGCGCCTGTCATCCGATGACTCGGGGCGCTTACTGGCCTCTCTATAACATAAAAAAATGTTGCATAATGATACAAGCACCTATCACACGATGACCCAGGGTACATACTGGCCACTCTATTAAGTAAAAAAAATGTTAATTAAACACAAACACCATCCTGGGTTATCAGGCGATCAGCGCTTGCGTTATTATTTAACTTTTTATTATTCAACTGCATGTGCACAGATGAGTGGTGAGAACATTGCATACTTTTGGCTCCAATTATTTTGCAAAAATCGTGCGATTATCACGCAATTGTTACGTGAGAAATCCGTACAATTTTTCACGCGAGTATCGCGAGTCAATCGCGTAATGATCGCAAGATAATCGTGTGGCAATCACGCGATGATCGCGTGATTGCTGTAAGCAGGGAACCCCCCACAACCCGGAGCACTAACTGGCTGCTTTAATTATTAATAAAACAAATATAATAACGCAAGCGCCAATCACCACACAACCTGGAGCGCTTACTGGTCGCCTTGATTATTTATAATAGGTAAAATAATAACGTAAGCGCCAATCCTGATACGACCTGGGGCGATTACTGGTCGCCTTGATTATTTATAATAGGTAAAATAATAACGCAAGCGCAAATCCTTACACGTTTTGGGGCGCTTAGATTGTTCTTTTTATTATAAACAATTAAAGCGACCAGTAAGCGCCCCGAGTTGTGTGGGGATAAGCGCTTGTGTTATTATTTTATTAGTTATAAATAGTCAAAGTCACCAATAAGCACCCCGAGTTATGTGAGGAATGGTGCTTGCTTTATTATATTTATTTTATCAATAATTAAAGCAGCCAGTAAGCACCTCGGGTTGTATGGGGATTGGCGCCTGTTATATTATTTTATTAATTATAAATATGTAAAGTAACCAGTGAGCGCCCGATCTAATGTGGGGATTGGCGCTTTCGTGATTATATTATTAATCACAAATAATTAAAGCGTTGAGTAAGCGCCCTAGGTTGTGTGGGGATAGGCGCTTGCGTTTTTATATTTGTTTTATTAATAATTAAAGCAGCCAGTTAGTGTCCCGGGTTGTGTGGGGATAGGCGCTTGCGTTATTATTTTATTAATCATAAATAAGTGTCGTGACCAGTAAGCGCTTGCGTTGTTAATGAATGAATTTTATCATTCATTTAAACTCATGAGGCTGCTTATTGGTCCGTTGGGTAATTGGGTTAAATAGCTTGGGATTAATTTATTAACTTATTGTGTATAAAATTTTATCAAGTTGTCTGAGGTTTCGCGTCTTGCTCTATATAGCCAATTTGAATTTCCCGCAAGTTTGACAGTCACATTTAGGAGCACTGCCTTCGCTCACTTATGTGAACCTGCCCGTAGCGCCGACTTCGAGGCAATTCATGAAACTGAAGAGAGGTAGGTAAAGAAACTGAAATAACATGTCTGAAATAGGAGCTGTTGAAGAGAAAGTGGAATTTTTAATAAAAAGACAGCCTACGCATTGGGGAAGTGTTCCCCAGTGTAAATTTAAAAAAGCCTTCTACGTACATCAATTTCCAAAGGATAAAAAACAGTGCCAGAAGTAGATAGTTACTTGTAAAATGGGCAATAGCATAACCTCAAATATGATAGTGTGTGGCTGAGTCATTTAACAAGCAACTTTCCACTTCTAATATTGTTTTTTATCTTTTGGAAATCAATGTACGTAAGATCGTTTTTCAAATTTACACTGGGAAACACTGCATCAACGCGTAGGCTGTTTTATCATTAGAGATTCAATTTTTTCTTCAACGGCTCCTATCTCAAACATGTTATTTCGATTTGTTTACCTGCCTCTCGTCAGTTTCATTGATTGTCACGAGGGCGGCGCAACAGGTGGGTTCACATTGCGGATAGGTGTCCGCAGTTGGCAAAGAGGATCTTCGCATACCCCCACCGCTATCAGAACATTCCGTTGAAAAAGTTCCAAAGCCAATCAAAACAGAGCTACAGCAGGAGTGTAGGGGGAGACTTGTTTCTCCTGTGAATAATAAAGCAAGCGTCAATCCCCACACAACCCAGAGCACTCACTGGCTGGTTAAATTATTATTAAAACAAATATAATAGCGCAAGTGCGTATTCCCACATAACCCGGGGTGCTTACTGGTTGCTTTAATTATTTATGATTAGTAAAATAATAACGCGAGCGCCTATCCCCACATAACCCGGGGCGCTTACTGGTCGCTTTGATTATTTATCTTACTACTATATGAAGCAAAGTCGCTAAAACCGTTGTAATCGCTAACCTCAAAAACTACTGAGCCGATTCTGCTGAAATTTAACATACCGATTCTTGACACTTCCTAGATGGTTTTAGTATCATTTTTATCTTAAAAAATTTAATAACAATAGCAATAAATAAGCCTAAAATTTTTCAAACTTTTCACTTTAGTTCAGTAAGATCCACTAGGTAGCGTTGACATAAAATCGAAGCTATCTGCAACATAATTAGATAAGTGTGGTTATCATAGGCCGGAGCGTCGCGGAAACTTCTGCAATCGTTTTCTGGCAGTTCATCCAGCTGCATCGAGAATGTATATAATAGCGGAATACCTGGAGACGTGTCTAGCCAGAGCACATCCTGCCCCAACACTTCAGAGTTATGTGGCCGTACCATAATCTAGCCTGGTGCCGTCAGAGAATTTTTTACTACAAATGTAAGCCAGGGAAGACAGCCCTGAGGAGTATGAGCAGCCACAACGGCCAACTTCTTAGTGGTCGTTCCAACGGCATACCTACAGAGAAGGTATTCTCCAGGCCCGGCCACTTTTCCGACTAACGATGAGCGGTTGGTTATTTGGGGAACGACCTAAAGACGAGATATATATTTTGGTCAGCGGCATATCTCCCTCATGTATGGTCTCCGTACAGATACTTCGAGGGTAAGAGTTAGGCTACCAACAGCTGGCTCTCCATCATCAAGAATCACAATAAGGAATAACTAGAAATTTCACCACTGGCCTTTTTTAGGGACAATATAAGTATTTACGTTCATTACTTAACCTTCAATCTCATCGGGTTTAAAGTTCTTTTAAGGGCCACCTTAGTTTAAACTACCTTGCCAACAAATACATTTTTACTACCATTTCTGGAAACAATTTGTCGGTCAAAAGACTGTGAAAAGCCTAACTTTATTAAACCAAGTCAGTCATTCACTTACAGACGTCACGGGTGGAGTTATTCGTCGCAAGGCTAGGAACCCCGGTGACCGACGACCGTATATTACCCTCTCGATTCTAAGCATTCTAACAGGAATCACCAATCCTCTCAAAGGTCTGCGCTGGGCGAACCTATCAGCTATGAAGGAAAAAAAAATTGAGCCAACGGGACAGTCCCCAACTAACAAGCATCACGATCCAATCTTCCCATCTTAGATCACTAAAACAACTAAGTCTGCAAAAAAAAGAGGTGCTTTAGACACCAAAGTCTTTGACGTTATACCAGGAGACGTTGGGAACGATCTCTGCAACTGGCTCTAAAGCTTCGGACTTAGTGGTTTTTCTCCCGATCAGTCTGGGGCTTCAACAGCAGGCCAGTCTTGTTTTTACAAGCTGTTCTTGTTTTTACTTACACAAACAAACGATGCCTTAAATGACTCAAAATGTTGTTTAGAAGCTTCAAAATTAACATAATTAAGAACTGTAACACTGCTATAACTTTTTATTAAACAATAAGCATTCATAGGGGTGTTCCCATTGTTGAGTTTTTTATAGGTTATTATTTTGGGTGTGTCCAACAAGTGGCAATCGCACTAACTACTGGGTTGTTTAGTAAATAATATAATTTGTTTCACATCGTTGCTTTGAATTATTATTTAATGTTTTTTTTTTTTTTTTAGTTTAAATAAAAATCGCATGCATAATGAGTTCATTTTCGGTATACGGGTCTCCAGACCAAAAACAACGAGAGAGAGGAGGGACCGTGCATTTATAAAAATTATCATATGTGAGG